AATGTCAACTTAAAAGATTTTAATTACAATCAATACTAACAGCATTGGTGAACAAAGCTTGCAACTTTGTAGGAAAAAAGGAAAAACCATTGAATAAACAAAATATGCATCTATTGTTTCAAATTTATATAAATATGCCTAAAATGACATTTTCCTACATCAATCCCATTAAATGAAGAAACTTTGTACACAAGAAGTACTGCCAGTTAAATAGCACGTCTCAGAATTTTCCCTAATTCATGAATAATATGGAACCTTTGAAATTATTCCAGCATGGCTTTGAAAAATTTGTATTTACACACACACACACACACACACACACACACACACACACACACACTCTGAAGAAAGGACAATGATAATAAATATACTGAATTCCAACAATTTAGAGCAGCCCACCCACACTGGCCATCAAGACTAGTCTGGATTCATTGAATAGCAACTTGTTCTGGTACATCTGAAACTTCACACCCTTACAGGAAGTCTATTTTGTTAATAAACTTGGCCAGTATGAAAAATCAGGAGTCTGGTCACATTTTTTTTGTGTGTTTAACCATTGTTATTAAAAGGCATAAAGCATTAAAATAAAGAAACAAAAAAAGGTGCAAACAGGAAAAATTGTTACCCGTAGTTAGATTTTTATTTTTGGAATAGTATAAAATATTGAACACAGTATCTTTTTATGCATGTGCAAATTTAGACATCAGTGATGGATGATGAAAACATAGCATTTATACCATCTATGGTTTTATGTAAGGCATTTCAGATTTGATTTTGCTGGCACCTCATAGAAAGCAAAATTCTATGCTGGGTAAAGGACAGACCTCATAAATTTCTAGTCTTGTAGCATTCTGTATATATATTTGCTTTGGTAAACATATGTCTTTTAATAAACTTTGTTAGTCACAAAAAGCGTTACCAGGCTCCTGATTTTTCTTAGCTCTCTTATAATACGCAGTACTAAGTGCCAGTCCTAATCAAAACTCATAAATAAGCAGTGCTGCACTTTCCAAATATGAACAATATTCAGAGATGAAGCAGGATTTCTTACACTTCCGATAGTAAAAATGTCATCAGTGACATGCTCTAAGAAAGATGGCACTGCTAGGGGGCATTCATAAATAAATACAGCAGCTCATATTCTGCTATTTTACCAAAAATCAGGGATTCTTTTTTGAACTCCCATAATCCCCTGCTACTGGCCAGGCTCACTGGGGCTGACAGAAATTAGATTCAAAACATCAAGAGGATACTACTGTTTGTCCCTAGAAAACACTAATGTATTTATCTGTTTCTTTGGCTGCCTCCAATACGAAGCCCATGGACCTCAAATACCCACAAAAGCTCTGTGGGTTTAATTTGAAAAAGGGGGGAAAACATCAGGAAGCAAGCAGGTAAGATGAGTACTAACTTGCTTGACATAACTCTGTATATGCCTAAAAATTCTGGGCATTTACAGAGAATTGTGTAATAAACATAAATTAAATAAGCACAAACCTATTATGAATACAATTAGTAATTTCCATTCCAGAACAAGGAATACATTAATATATTTTCACATGATTTTCCAATTTTTAGAAAATAAATCTGGTTCTTTTATATAGTTGTTTGTTCTGACCCCCCCTCCCCTTCGGCCTGTGAGTAACGCAGACACAGGCTTGGCTATTTGCTACTCTTTAATCACAGGAATTACAACTCCGTTGGCCAAAAGCCCAGACAACACTCTCATGCAAGAAGGGTTGGCAACAACCCAAACAAAACAGAACGGAAATACAAAACAGACAAGACAAGAGTTCCTCAAGACTGTTACGAACAGTTGTGTCCTGCAAAAGGATCCCTCCCAATTTCTCACTTATATACTCTCTTGGGAGGGGCCAAGCCACAACTACCTGGGCTTGATTATCTCTTATGAGTCTGCCTCCGCAGCTGCTGCGTTTCTCCACCCTTCTTTGCCTGGGGTCAGGAACTAACTGCCTTGAG